GAAGAAACAAAAAAATTAGCAGAATTCCAAGCATTTAAAAGACAAATAGTGCATTTGAAAATATTTAAATTTGATATATATTATGTATATTAAAAAAGGGTGCCCTAAATTTAATTTTTATAATTTTGTATTTCCTTCATTATGTTTATTTTTAATGTAAGAAACATCATTATATGTTACTTTTATTTTATATGTATTGTTTTTGTTAATTTACAGTAAAAAATACAAGATCCAAAAACTTATTAAAAAAACAGACAGAAAGAGAAAGAATATACTTGAATTAAAACAGTTTTTATGATATGTAACATTTATATTTATCAAAAATAGTCTTTAATATTACATTTTGAAATGCTACAGATTTGACTTCACTTGCAAGGTTTAATAAACATACTCAATATTTATTAAGTGAATTACTAACTTTGCCTTTAATATGACATAAATTAGCTATCATATAAGTAACAATGTGGCAATTTTGTTAAATCAAACATAGATTTCCTTAAGATTTACATTAATTTAAACACAGTTGTACAATTTCTTGAATTAAAATTTAAAATTAATTTTGTGGTTCATGTTACCTAGGTACAGATATTATTATAAAACAGAAATTACAAAATAAACTACAAAATAAACATTTACCTATAATTTTAAATTTACTGGCACAGAAGATATACAAAGCAAATGATTTACAATAATAATTATACTAACACAGCATATATTATACGTTTATACATATGACTGTATGCAAGTATACACAGAAGTGTTCAAAAAAGATTATTGTCGCAAAATTATAAGCCATAAGCGCCTAAAAACAAGGCAGTATATATAGTAGACAGCCTCAACTAAATCTACATACAAAACCTGGAATATGTTCAAGTTCACATTTTTTTCTTCTTTTGTACAGATTATGCATACATGCTAAAATATTTTATTAAAAAATTGAAGATAAAATTTTCTACTCAAAGCTAGTTTAATTTATAAATACAAAAAGCTAAAACAGGACTGCTGTTTCTGTTGAAATTAAAAAAGCTTCGTTGTTTTTCATTTGTATATATGCATACATATAAAATTACCACCAATTTCTTAGCTAAATTCACTTATTTTGTCTGAACTGAATGTACTATCTTAACTTGTTAATTATATTTTTATCAATCATAGTAGATAAATATACATTTTAAATATAGAACATGCAATATAAATTTTATAAATAAAATCAAAGCATCTTCCTCATTTAAAACAAATTATAAGAAAATTTAAACTGAGAATAACAATAACAATTTTAACTAACATCTTTCCATAAAGTAAACTGGTTGTAAATCTTAAAAAAAATTTCTTTATTAATTAAATACTTTAAATGTAATGAACATACAAATTAAAAAAGAAACATTTTTAATATTAAAAAGCAAAATTAGAAAACTCATTCATTCATTACCAGCAATATTATGTTTGCACAGATAAAATACATGATACAATTTTCTTCCCAATAAGAATGAATAAATGCAAATTAAATCTGCCAACCCATGAGAGTCAGGAAAGAAACTCTTTCATTTAAGAAAAATAAATTTTAAATGCTCAGATAACAGAATACCTATATATAGGTTTGATTCCATTATTTATTAAAGACTAGGTTTATAACAAAATATTCATGACAAAATTCAGGAAATAATTATGCAACAAGATAGAGAACTTACAATCGAAGAAACTCTAGGTCTGACTGATAAAGCCAAATAATTAGACCCATAATGAATAGAAATTACTTTATAATTTTCAGCATATGTGATAATATAATAGTTAAAAATCATTTCAAATAAACTTTATTATATTCATAAACTATATATGATAGGAAGATTAAAAAAGTCATAAATATTATATTGCATATACCATATTACATTTTCATAAACATACTCAGTTCCCCACAGTTGAAGAGACTTAAATACAATTATTAGTTTCCTTTCTTTCTTTCTTTTTTTTTTTTTTTTCTGGATAAAAGTAAGAACTTTTACCAAAATTTTCTAAAACTTAAATCAGACATTGTGTGAATAAAAGAAAGAGCAGCCCTGTGATAGATTACGATAGCAAATTCCAACATCTTTGGTATATATGAACTGGCAGGTACTGTATCCAAGAATTAGTGGACAGGAGGACAGACATACTTCTTCCTTTATCTTCTCTCTTTATCTAGAGCCTGACCACTTCTGATCATGCATTATCACATGTAAGTAGGTCACTTTGCAAAACCATAACAGAAAGGTTAAGCTAAAGGACCATCACCGGTTCCAACTGTTTGTTGCAAAATACTGCTAACAGCCAATAAATATGCAGGCTACTAATAGGTCATTGCAATTTCCTATACAAACAATTTGTGATGACACAAATCACATTTCTTTTCATTTTATCCTTATAAAAAATAATAATAACATTTTCAAAATCAATCCAACTGCAGAGGTTACACTTAATCACATTATTCAATTATACATGAATTTTACTTATTTGTTTCCTATGTAAAAGACAGTTGATTAATTTATTACAGATAAACTGTAAAGATGTTATAAAAAATATGTGATAAATGAAAATACTTTATGCTTCTCAATCAAAGATGTTTCTGTAACTGGATTTATCTCTGAAAGTGATTTCTTCAGTTTTCTTCTGAATTTTCTCTTGAAATCATTTAACTAACAAATCTTAACAAGTTCTAAATTTATCTTGAGATCTTATCAGTCTTATGAAAAGTATTAAAGCACAAGGTGATTTAAAAACACCAGAGGAAAAAGGAAGTATATAGAGGGGGTCAAAATAAGCATATTTTGTATTGGTGTGTGTGTGCAGAAATGGCACGTCAAGGTGATACAGGGCTCTGCTGAGTAAGTAGACAAAAGCATTCTTCTGGCATAAATCATCACTCAACTATTGAAATTTTGAATGGCTGCTAAATGAATGTGGAGCTTCTCAACATTTATCTTACCTACATAACTGCAGTTGGAAATGGGCCAGCTACTCAAAGAATGTACTCAGAAATCATTCTCTGTATTTTCTTTGAGTAGCTGCTCTGTTTTAGCTGCAGTCCCATAGTTATAAAATGCATAGCAGAAAGCTGCATATTTGTGTACACATCTCAATTTGCATAACTTAAAATTCATATGGGGAACAGCTATTTACACCAGCAATACACTTCTCACCAGCAGTGCTATGCCAGCAGTACACAGCTCATCAATCCCCTGTACCACCTTAATATGGCATCTCTGCACAAACTTTCTATTACAAAATCTGCTCATTTTGGTCTCCTTTATTTGCTTTTATACTTTTGCCAGTTAATTTTACCACCCTGTACATGAAGAATGCATTAAGAACTCGAGGAAAATCTATAAGAAAAATTCTGGAATACTTGCTTACAGAAAGGCATCTTTCTTTGATGAAAGCGTCTCCCAGTTAATAATATTCTTCCTTATTATCTAACCTATACTTTCTTAAACTTACAGCATATGAACTACACAGTTTAATCATTCATATCATTATTTATAAATACAAATTAAATTGTGAGATTAACCCCTCCCCAAAAGTTTTAATCTGGCTAGCCCCAACTAATCAGTGCCATACATATTTTTAAATAAAATGAATATACCTTATTCTGTGCTTGAGAAAAAATTTCAAATATTATAAAACTGAAATAATTATACATAAGTCATATTTTAAAGAATTAAAATCCTATGACTAAAAATATTTCACATAAATTAACATGATAAAATGCATTCAAACCTCAATTAAGGAGAGTTGGGAATTCTTCCTAACCAGAAATTAAAGGCAAAGGTATTTTAAATATAGTTGAAAGCCAGTATATCATTTATAATCAATTTTTTACATAGGAAACTCAAAATATTTTTTTAAATAAAATTTTGGATAAATGGCAAGGAAATTAAATTCAATGGCCCATTAATAAACTGTGCATATATTTTTATAATGTTGGCTTTATGGCAGCATACTGGCAACAAAAAAAAAAAAAAAAAAAAAAAAAAAAAAAAAAGATAAACGTGCAATTATATGTAACAAATTTCTAACTGTATAACTACATCATTTATGTCTTTCTCTTTAAAAAATTATGTATGTCAAACTGGAGGCAGGGTTAGGAATCTAAAGTCACAAAATACATTCATGTTGTCACCTGTACTTATCACATGCATTCCACATTTCCAGCATGTCTTGAAACATCTGCAGAATAAAATATTCAATAACTAAACAAAATTTATGAACTTAATCAAATATTTCATACCTCACATTAACATGTGAGCTAGTTGACATTAAAATAAAGTTGGGGGGGGGAATCTTACAATGACTAAAAAAGAAAAGTAAATTAATGTAAGCACATTAAAATTTTTTAATGTTTGAAAGGAAAATCTTATTCAAATAAATCTGACCATGATTTCTTAAACCCTTATTAATATACGGTACTATTACAGCTTTAATCTCCATAATCATTAATTCCAGGGCATCAGCAGCAATACTTATTCAGGTGTTGCAAAACCTGGAATGTATTAAATTGGAGCTATTATCATGTTCTGCAATAAATCAGTTTTCATTTGGATCTGATGTCTAAACAATACATGTGTAGTGAACTCTCAATCACTCCACATCATTATGGAACAGCAAATGTTCGAAGGTAGATTTTATGAGATAATGCACATTGCTATTATGTTCCTACTTTTCGTATTTCAAGAAAAGCAGCCTAAAGTGTAGACAAAGAATAAACAAGTGCTGAACCTTAAGAGAAAAGACCTTAAAAATCTTTAGCAAGGTGTGATCCCTGCTTCATAAATCTATCACTGTATATATCTATCACACTTGGTATTATTGTCTAAAGAGCCAATGCTTTGAGAATTGACATTCACAGCATTTTAATGAACTGACATACTAGGACTTGTTTTGCCAATGTTATCCTATTTTTTGGTGACCACATGGCAAATATATCTAGCGAATGTCTGTGTAATGCCAAAACCCTGTCTTATTCTGGAAAATCTCCAGATCTGTGACTAAATGAATATATACAGGAGACATCAGGACATAAGCCAAATTCTAGGAAAATGCATAAATTTGTTAAGAAATTTCAGAGCATTTAAAAGCAAATTCTACAGGACAGCATTAATTATTTTATTAAAACCATGCCTCACTACATGGATTATCTGCACTGAGCTGTTCACCTACGATAAGATATACTTGTGTGGAGGACTTTCTAAGGGAAATTGGCTTTTATTCATATTACACATGGGAAAAATTATGAAAACACTCATGCAGCCAGCCTGCTTACAGTGATTATTTTTATTAAAAAATCAAATACGTGAGTTTTTGTGTTCCTCGTGTGGAATACTATTCCACAAAGTATTCCATGAGGCTTACAGATATGAATAAATAATTTACAATACAAGGAGATACAATTCAACAATAAAAACATAATATCTAGGTCTGGAGAGAGCAAGGGGGAAAAAATACAAAAATTACTGTAATAAAAATACTAAAATGTACCATCAATAATTAAACTATGTTAATACCTCTTTAAAAGAAAATAAACTAACTTAATACAACAATAATAAATATAAAATAATACTTAAAAATAATGTTGATACAAAGAAAAAATGATAAATAAACAATACAACACATCAATAAATAATATAATCATACATAGGCAATACACAAAATAATACAATAACACATGAAAGATTAAAATCTAATCATATAAATAATAATACTAAAAATTCAAACAACAAATAAAGTCGCGCAAGACTGCAAAGGCTTTCAAACTCCTAAGGATGGGATTTACAGGGATTTGACCCTAGATTAAACTACCAATATTCACTGACCATTCAGCCATCAGAGATATGTCCAACTCCATATTCTCATGCATTTTTACCAAAGGCATCACACTAGACATACTATTAATATCTAATGGTTCTGGATGCATTTCTCTTAAAACGGAATGACTGCTATCCAGTTTTACAAACTTCAACTCTTCACAGCTCATGTCAAAATCACTGCGTTCAAACTATTTTTCTAGGAATATTTTTTTCACATATTTGTCAATACTATTCTTTTCTTTCCAAACCAATAATTATACTTCACCAAGTGGGAAAATTCTTCTCTCAAGTAATGATATCCTTCTCCCCTCCCACCCAAAAACATAACAATCTCTGGCATGATGATAATTTTGATCTTAAAAAATTCAATTAATTTATGATCATGAAGAAATAGATAACTATTTCATTAACTTTAAAGACTTTTATGTGGATTAATATCTTACATATATGTAACATATGATCAGAAAATACTGGTTTTTCTTTGTTTTCAAATAAATCATTTCATAAAATAATGGATTTTAACTGTTTCAGTGTTTATTCATTAACTATTTATTTCAATTAAATGTAAAATGGTGATGCGATATTAAAAAAGGATCCATGGAAAATGATTTTACAGAACTGATATAGAGCCTTTGAGCTAAGAACCTCATCAACATGAAAACAATTTTTTAACGATAAGATATTATTTTTTTTAGATATTTCTCTTAAGATTAATTTTACACAAAGTAAGACAATCAAGAATTTTTATGAGATCCAATATCTGTTTTCATAAATTGGATGATTATACGGTTTCTGAGAAAAAAATAGCTTTACAAAATAAAATAAATAATTTCTATCTAAATATAAATAGAATTTATTAATGTTGTTATTTAAAACCTCTAAATCATTCAATTTTTCACATATTTACTCCGAAATAGACTAAGAATGGAACTGCATTAAAAAACACTCCTACAGTGATTATAGTAAAAAATCTGATGTATACACCACATGACTTTCTTGTACAAAATATTAACTTTTTCACATTTTTTTCTGCATTTCATTATTGCTTATTGAATTGAATTAAGTCTACTACGTCAATAGTGAATAAACTACAACATAATAAATGCACTTTTTAAAATTCACTATATTTATTTATCATAGCTACACTCTGACACTAGGTTCACTTAACAGCATTACATCTCATTCATTTTATAACTCAGAATGCACAAAAATTATATCATAAGAAGAATTATCTAATTGTTGCCATGTGTTATATTCAAATACTATAATAAATCTAAAATGATATATAAAAGAAATTAAACAATTAAAAAAGAAACAGGGTAATGCAGTGCATACTTGTAATATTCTCCATTGTAAAGTGACTGGCGACAATATTTGGCTATATACAAACATTTTTATTTCCTCGAATTTCATTAGAGATATTTTCTCATCAATTAATTAGTTCTCACTTGCAGCAAGGCAAAATACATAAAAACTCAAAATTCTTTATAAAAAGTTGAAAGTTAAGAAAAACATAAAACACCAAATTCAGTTAAAACAGTTTTTACAATTAAAATTAGAGTTTCTGCACAAGAACAAGCAATTTGGTCAGCAGGCAAGAAGGCAGATTTTTTGGTGCACAAAACTAAAAGTTTCTTTTGGTCCCACTCAGCAAAAGACACGAAAGGTGCAGAAAGACTTCATTATTCCACTAAGTTTCAAATGTAAACAAATATGGGTGCTACGATAAGAAAAATTAGTCTTAGCCGCATTTAAACAAGTTTCAAATTATTGATAATTCCACAACTATTGCGTGCAGATTAACAAAAGGCATAAAACCTTAATCGGAAGATAAAAATAACATTATTCAATCATTTTTAAAGCGAAAAATGTGCAATTAACCCAGAATAAAAAAACTGAGTTCTATATATATATATATATATATATGTAGAGAGAGAGACAGAGCAGAATTTTATGCTTTTAAAGCATAGGAGTTCTAGAAAATACTAATTAAAATACTGACAAAAAAAATATTTTTTTTCCATCAATGGTTTTTTATTTGAATTTCTGTTCCTTGAAAATTGTAGTTTTCTTATTATGAACTATTGGTTTATATATGTATATTTATATACTTTTGGTGTGGCTGATTGCAACCAAAAAAGGAGGTTCACAACTACATGTTATAGCAGTCCTATATACAAAATTTCAACGTTCTGAGGCTATTCATTTTTGAGATATGCGAATTACATATGTATGTACATACAGGCACCATGGAAAAAAATCTCTTCTGAATTCATTTCAAACCAGTTTTAAAATTCATTTGGAGAAAAAGAATTCTTTATTCTGTCCTTACATATAGATGTCATGCAAAAACATCATTAAATTGCATTCGATGGCGGTCAAAATGGATATTTTCATTGAAATATGACACCCAGAATTTTTCGTGATTACTTTCTTTACTTCGCACAAAGAATTAAAAAGGTTTTAAAAAATAATGTATGCTACCATTTCATACAAGGCCAGAAAAACATGCTTATATCTGACAGTTTGCAGTACAAAATTTGAAATATAGACATGCAAGTTAACTATGCAATTTTATGTCACTGAATTACTCAAACATAAAAATTTACTTTTATTACATAATTCAGTTTTAAAATAAAGAAAGTTTAACTTATGATAAATTACCAGCATTATATGATTTTAGTTTTCAATGGGCAGAAAATATAAGACTAATAATATAGTATTGATATTATACTAAAATAAGAGGTTTGAACTATTACATCAAATATATTGTTTCATATGCATGAAAATTATGTAAGGGAGGAAAAACAGATTGTGTATCAAAGAGGTATTAACCATGAAACAAAGCCTAAAGAAAATTACTTAAATCTTTGTTATCATAAGCTGTAAAATTAATGCAATGCAATTAAAATTCTTCATACTTTTAAGAGGGGAAGCTAAGTATTTAAACTACAAAAGATGTGAAAGAAATATTCTCCAAACAAAATGTTGTTGTTGCTGCCATGTCTATGATAAAGCCTATTCAAATACTGCTATTGGCAAAGATGACAGCTCTGGCAATTTGCAAAATGTTATCATTATGAAAATTATAGAAGTTCAGGCTCTTAAACAAGATGCCAATTTTCAGCAATTTAGTAAGGATGGCCAGACAATTAAAAATGTGTGCAGTTGTTAGTTCTGGTCTGAGCAGTTATCACAGTTTCTGTAGGTTTTCCTATCTTTGTTGTCAATTTTCAATATTCTGTGATGGCCAGTTCAAAGTCTGACAATGAATTTAGTTGTAAGTCAATCTCTATCGATGTTACGGAGGCGGTTCTTTACTGGAACTTAAAAGTTACTTCAATCTGTATTTCGTCATGGCATTTCCATCTGAAAGGGTGCATTTACATTATTGCTGAAATTTCAAGCACCTCTTGCCAGTTTATCTGCTTTCTCATTACCTGTGATATTGACATGCACTCGCAACCATTGAAGAATGTAGACCTTATCTAACTTTTGAAATTTGTTTAGGCAAAAGTTCTAAAGAAATCAAACAAAATCAAAGAACTAACAATCAAAGAACAGAGTTTAAAAATATACATCATATTTTCTGAAACATTATAGATAAATGATTGAAACACTTCATATCAGTAATACATCACAATCGATAAGAAACAAATATTTACTTGTGTCATCCATTCAGCGTCCTGAAGGCATTCTTCTAAAACTGCATGAGAATCTTTTTCTTCTCCTTTCTTCACATCTTTAACCTATAGACGGGGAAATTGTAAAACCATTATGAAAATTTTTAAATTTATTTGAATTTAATATTCACAAGCTTATGAATGTTTTTCAAAACAAAAATTGATGCATCTCACAAATTTTACAATTTTTATAACACTGTAAGCATATTTTCAAATCTTCAGGTGCATTATAGCATCTAAATTTCCATACCAGAATTCCAATTTAAAAACTATTTCTTTTAAAATGTTCTGAATGTACAGTCAGTGATGCTCAATTCTTTATACAGTGTATATAAAACAAAGATGTGGGGAAAAATATGTTAACACTAGAAATAAGATTTAATATATTTCATATATCAATCCATAAATTATTTTTATACTATCAATTGCAATGTTCACTATTTCCATGCGATTTTTATTGCACCTTTTTTTTTTTTTTTTTTTTGCAAAGTGGAAAAAGAAATGATAATATATTTAACCACCAAATATATCCATATTTCTTACAATCAGAGAAAACTACATTTTCAGCTTTACCTTTCATTTAAAAAAGATTATAATTAAAGATAAAAGTTTAAACCTTTGATCTAGAGGCTTAGATGTAGTTAGAAGACGACATTTAAATAATAAACAAAAGGCAACACTGCACTACAACAGTGTTACTCAAACATTTTGAATTTTTACCCTCTTACTTAAAATACTCCTTCTCGTAATATTCCCAGTTCTTTTTCTATGGAAGAGTGAATGTATTTGTGTGTGTGTATATATATATATATATAGGCAAACATATACATGCACAACTTCACACAGAAAATTACACTAAAAGATACATTATACATTATTATTATTATATATGTGATTGAAAATTAATAACAGTATAAAAATATTTTTCATTAATTATATTAAAATATAAATTTATTTAACACACATAATTTTCAGCCAAAAAATTACTACTATAGAAAATAAGTAACAAACTACTTTTAATTACATAGAAGAGAAACACATGAATAGAAAATGTAAACTTATGTAAAGAAACCTTTCTTAATTAGCCAAAGATTTTACAAAACTTTTATGATATTTGAGGAATGATATTTAAAACATAATGCTATCCCAAGTACAGGGGATTAGTGATGCTGACTGCATGGAAGGGCCTTAGTCCGAATGCCAGAGAAGGTACAGATATTTGCAAATGTATAGAGCCTGTGCTACATGAAGGCACTCAAAATACATGGCAAGCTCGAAATCCTTTTGAAAAACTGATGATAGAGGAAAACAGGTGGAACCTTGGACTATCACCTGGGGTGTTCTCCTTCAAAATTGGGGTGGAAGCTTTTACAGTTACCAAGGTTTGGTGATATCTAATATACCTACAGGAATGCACAGTTACCAGCCTAGCATGTCCCTGTATATAACATGCTGGAACTAAAGATAAATTGCATTTAATTTTATTATAAAATTATTGTTACTACTGTTGTCTTTTTGAAACATGAAGTCTCCTGCTACCCCTTGATTCTTAGTGTCACTTGTTTAACAGAAATGCCCCCTTCCCAAAAAAAGAAATATTATCTACTCTGAGAAATGCTCATGTTGACATACCACACAGCACTGAAACTTTTTTTCTTAAATTTAATACAAAAATTTCTCCAGAATCAGTAATCAAAAATGATGAATGATTCATTAAGATAAAGCAATGCCATTAATGGTCCATGTGAATACAGCTGCATTTTATCAATGGTTTTCAGGATACATTATTCCAAATTTGGTGATAGTTTAATTAGTCTCCATTCTTTTCAGACAATAGCCCTTCTGACTGTTAAATATCAGCATTTGCATTTGCATTTGAATTCTCCACATTCTCCATGCACCATATATTACATTCTGAACATGCAACACAGTTTTTTTTCCTTTATTTATTTTTTATTTGAAACTATCAACTACTCACAACCATTGCTGCATATATTTTACAATTTAGCTTTTCTTATTTCATTAGTCTTTAGACTTCTATATTAAAAAGATATATCACCACATTATGAACAGTTACAATCATAGGAAAAATAGTTTGGATATAAATTTTGTTTAAAAATAAATTAATTCACATGTTATTCATACAACAAAGCAAATCAACAGTAGTGACTAAATATAATTTTCTCGTCCCTCTCACACTGCAACTCCTAAAACAGAATTTTAGTTAATGTTCTATTTTTCATTACCTTTACTTCCAAAAACTGATATAAAGACTATATAAGACAGGAATTTCTAAACATACTTTTACTTATATGACTGCCATAACATATTTGGATTGCATTATATGCAGTAGAGATAACATATGAAAATTATCTACACAGTCTGAGTAAATACATTTTTTATCTTGTAATTTGTAAAGCTATTCCACTATATACATTTGATTCTGACATAAACATCTAATCTCTACATTTCTAGACAGTCATGAATCCTCTTGGAAAGATATTCAGGTCGTGCTTATGTTTATTGTGATCCTTTCTAGGAATGCATGTTCCACCAGTGGATGAGTAATAAGACCACTGAATATCAGGAGTTAAACCCAGGCAAATGGATTTCACTATATGATTGATTTTTCTCATGTGTAATACAAAATTTTAATATGAGCCATGAAGAATATTTTCTTAAAATTAGAAAATTTTCTCGAAAAATTTATAAAAATAACTCATAATAAATGGGTGAATTTTATTTAGAATGAACATAAATTTCAAATTCTAGAAGAAGGAAAAATGCAAGTTTAATAAAAAAAAAAAGAGATACAGTACAAAGCCTTTAATCCGGACTCGTTGGGACTTCGGCGAATTCCAGATTATACATCATCAATTTAAATCTGGTAAGATGGCATGCAGAAATTATAAAATTAAAAATATGAAACCGTAATTTATGAAATAAAGAGCAATTATGATCTAAAGGGTAGCAAAATTTACAAAAAATAAAGCTTAATATTTATTTATTTACTTTATAAAACATTTCTTTCAATGTAAGTTGTTTAAGTTGCTTCGTTTTTTGTGCTAATACTTTCTCTTTAATTCTCTCTTCTATGGATCTTGGATCTTATCTTTACAGCTGGCACTATTTACAAAGAGTTCTAACCAGTATCCTGAAAATTATAACCAATTAAACATTTGCTTGGTTTTAAAAGAAATCAAAGATGTACGTCTAGTATATCGTCGCATGAGGCGAAAGTTCAAAATGCGAGTTCATGAGTATGTAAAATAAGAACGAAAGATATTCTTCGTCTTGTGTTACACTGGCGTGGAGGCAGTCAGAGGAGAAGTCATGTGACCCTGAGAAGGCACCTGGTTGATCAAAATGAGTAAAGTTCATTAAAGGTTCTTAATTTAATGATAAAAACACCACATGTAATAAATTTATGTATATTCCTTTAAAACATCTCTTCTGTAAACAGTACCTCTTCTCTTTACGCACACGCATAGTGGACGCCCGCATTAAACATATAAAGTTTGTAGATTTGAGGTCTGGATTATAGATCATTCCGGATTATGGATGCCCGGATTAAAGGTTGGTGTTGGTGTATTTAATTATGGCAAAGCACACTAGGGCTATCTGCCTAAGGGGAGGGATGCCTTCATGGAGGACTTTCTAAGGGAAACTGGCTCGTATACATGTTACACATGGGGAAAACCACGAAAACGCCCATGCAGCCGGATTAAAGACTTTGTACTATATTAATAAATATATATCAAATTCAATTAACACTGAGGAGCTAAAATTTTGAGAGCTAATTTTTTAAAAACTATTGGTACGATTTTTACAAAACTTGGCAGTTTAGCATAATCTGAGTAAAAAATTGCATGTCATTTCAGAAAAAGGTCTGATTTTGTTTCAAAATACATATACTAAAACAATGCTATATATAAATCTGATGCATATTCTAAGTCGCGTTTTCAAGACATGAAAAACACGAGTTTCGTCAATTAGCCTAGTAGAACGAGAGATATAGGGACCGCCCCCTTTTTCTCGCAGAGTACAAACTTTTTCCTGCAATCTACGATAAACAATAAATCAATATATTCTTTTTCCAGGGTTGTTACAAGGCTTTTCAGCAAGCTGTCTAGTTATTGCATGGTGATTTCTTGCTGGTAGATACATAGAGCAATTTCTGGAAGTGACTGGACTTTGCAGATTATCTTAATTTTTGTGACAATGAACTTTTCCTCTACTATAAAACAACCTCATATGAAGTTTTAAGAGGTATTTATTTTTTTTGGAAAGACAAGATTATGATTAATCTTCGTCCATTTGCTAGTGGTGCAATTCATTTAAATGTTGGATTGAAGGTATTTTCAACAATATCTCAATACAGATTACTTTTTAATTTCAAAGTAAGAATATTAAGCAAGTTTTTATTCAAGTGCCTTTATTTGTATAGTCTATACACAGTCAGACAAAATAGTTTTTTTTTTTTAAATGATGAAATCAATGAGATAAACAAGAAGAATTTTCTAAATACAAAAGTTTTATTGCACATGGAACTATAAGTAGAAAGAAAGATATTAAAATATATTAACAGTTTGGGTTTAAAATTTATTTCTACATCATTAATACATATATAAATATGGCATTACTTATTTCTGTATATAAATGCTATTATATTCAGCTTCAAGAAAATATTGATAGTTACCTTTTTACAGCCCAGTTGAAAGAAATGGTATTTATGATGGTGAAGTCGACTATAAAGAGTAACAATTTGTACACAAGACCCACACAGTGGGAAATTAAAGTCACATACTGGGTGACTCTGGCCTTCAGCTTTGCTTTCTAAAGTCACAGGATCATATGTTTGCCCATGAAAATGGACAATATACTGGATTTTACTGCCACTACATACCTACAATAATGATAAATTAAAGTTATTTACAGAAATAATTTTAGAAGCATATCATAATTTTTTCCCTACGGAAATGTAATTTTACTTGCATGTACTAATCTCTAATAATATAGCAATTCTTAATTCCTTGAGGAAAAGAATGCGGAAAATGAAACGCAGCCATGGGATCTACCCCCGAAATGGAAGATGTGTAGGCCACTGCATTATCAGCAGTTAAGCCGACTTTTACAATAAGATCCATATAAAATCAGCATTTTAATATAATGAACTCAATTTTTGAAGTTACGTACTTAATATGTATTACTATAAAGAATACCACATTAATAAAAATAGATTAAGATGCGAAAAGACTAAAATTATAACCATACGCATGAACACAAATACAACACAAAGTCTGAGATCCAGACTCGTTGGGACTTCAGCGATTTCGATTTGGGATTTTTCCAGATATTAGATCATCAGTTTAAAACTAGTAAGATGGCATGTAGAAATTATGGAATTAAAAATATGAAATCGTGATTTATGAAATAATGAAGCATTTATGATCTAAAGGTAACAAAATTTATAAAAGAAAAGCTTAATATTTATTTTTTTACTTTATTAAACATTTCTTTCAATGGAAGTTGTTTAAGTTGCTTTTTTGTACTAAAATTTTCTCTTTAATTCTGTAGACAGACTTAATTTCTTATTCAGTTATAAAGCTCCATTGTTCAAATCCTGTAATTGTAAGTCCAGAATTCAGGCTAACCTTGTCAATCAAAATTATTTTGTTTTCAATAACCTCTCTCTCACTTTCTTCCCTATGGGTAGTAGTATTTTCTGGATCTAGAACCATACTATAGATTTCAGTGTCTGTTAATTGACCAATGATTGGGGTATTGTCATTGCAACGAAAAGCTGCTGTCCACATTTCTTTACAAATCCATTAATTGGAAAATTTCACTTTTGGTTTGTGATACCTGCAAAACCTTCATATTCATCATCCTCACCATGAAATATGGTAGCTGGCTATAAAGTATGCCAAGCATTTTTTAAAGTTTCTGGAGACACATCCTCCCATGATCTTGCGATGCTCCACAAAGCAGATTTTAGCTAAACTAATAAAAAAAAAATTCTTGAACAGTCTTGCTATTATTGAAGAAATTTAACATGGATTTTAAAAATTCTACTTTATATTTGCATTTCAGCATATGCACTATTTTGATATCCATAGGCTGAATGATGGATGTATAATATGGAGGAAAAAATAATATGGATTCATTATCTTTCACTAAAACTTTAAGTGAAGTATGAGCTGAACAGCTGTCTACAATCAGGAAAACCAACCGAATTCTGCCTAGCCTCGGGTATGAAACGATTTTAACACTTGTGTCATCCATGCTCTTTATATATATATATATATTGGGGAAAATCTTCACTCCTTTGAAATGTTCGAGGTCACATATTTTTCCGATTACGAAACGTTTATACTTGTGCGTTCCTGCAGCATTTGTGCACGCTAAAATTGTTAGTCTTTAGAATCTTTGACACCAGTTGGAGCCTTTCTGTAGAGGCTGCCTAGGTATTTCGTGGTGCATATTGCCAAAAAAGACCAGTTTTATCAGCATTATAAATTTGTTCTAGAGATAACTTTATTAATGAATTCATCTGCAAATAGTTAGCAGCTCCAGTATCAGTGGAAGCTTTTTCATCTGAAATTCTTAATTGCCTTATACCATGGCGATTTTTAAATATGATTAACCAACCTGTCAAATATGTGCATTCAGTTTTTAAGTTCATTTCTTAGTGAAATATTTTGGCTTGAGCCAGTGGCATTGGACCCGTCAATGACATGCTCTCGCTGCGACACTGTCTGACCTATTCAGTCATCACTTTTTCATGATCTTTAGTTTAAGCATATCGAATGATTTTTCTGCAATTCATTGTGAGTGGTGTGTCAGAATCCACAAAAAGTTCCGTTTTCTTACGTCATATGCAGTTGACTTTTTATGCCATACTCCCACACAATTTTGAGACAGATATACGTTTATCCATTTTTTGCAGCAATTCCACTTTTTGTTGGACATGCTTTGTTTAATGGATGAAACATGCTTTTGCTTTGTACATCCTGTTGCAGCTCCAGAATTAAAAACTTCTTTTGACATAATAGAAAGTTCAAAACTTTAATTTTCATAAAATTGCTGTAATAAAACAGCCTGCAAAAAATAATAAGCTGGATCAAATCAGAAATTCAAGGAATAGCGCAACCTGCTATATTGACTGAAATTCTTTGGAATCAGTAAAGTATAATTTTAGCCTAGATTAACAGCATCCGCTATACATTATTGGCTATGTATCATGAAATTGGTGACGAAAGACAAGTTGTTCCACTAAATTTTATCTTGCTTCTATCCTGCACTGAGATAATTAAGCATAAATTGTATTAGTTTTGTTATTTGTTATTCTTACGTTTATATCTTCCACATGCTTAAGGCTTATTGAAGGCCGGCGCTAGATATCATACTGCTTGATGCAGTCAGACTCTTAATATACTGCTACTAAGCAAATCCTAAATACTGCTATCAAGCATCTTCTCAAGTTCTAAATTTTTGTCACATGTAAATTTTGGATCCCAGTGCTTTCCCTAAATTTGAAATTTTTTTTTTATCCCTTTATTTTGTTGCTCGGAGTTCCTCTAAAATTCCCAAAACTTTGTCTTCTCTAAATTTTGCCCCCCCCCGGTGCGGCCATACGAGCTCTGGCACTTGTTCTGGGTTAATGCGGAAAGCAAATTAGTTATTCTTAATTCAAATAGCACTAAATGTAATCTTTTGGCCTATGAGTATCATTAAAAAACCTATTTTTAGCATAAAGAAATGTTAAATTTTTCCTCATCAACATTTCTTAGCACATTTAACTTTAAATTTGTAATCATCGCCAAACATAATGTCAACATAAAAGATTATCATACACTTAGTTATTAACCCCTTAACTGCCGCGGGCGTATATATACGCCTTGCTCAGCCGATGTGTTAACTGCCCCAGATGCGCAGCCGATGAGTTAACTTTGCGAATAATTTTAGGTGTAGCAGCAGAAAGCAAATGATAGCAGTTTGGAAGGATGTATATATATGCCTGGGGCAGTTAACGCATCGGCTGAGCAAGGCGTATATATACGCCCGCGGCAGTTAAGGGGTTAAATTACTAATATAAAAAAAATGCTTGGACATCGCTGTACGAGTCATCACCCATGTTGTCATGTGTTGATAAACACGTGGTGATGAAAGCAAAATATAACAAATAATGATTTGCCAGGTTGGCACCAGGATATAAAATATTAGCAGGTGTAACATCAATGATAGTTGTAGAATGTTTTGGTTTCAGATAAATGCGAAGCAGACATGCAGCTACAAAGCCAAATTATTGATCACAAAAATTTATGCTAAATTATTGTTTCTTCAGTAACGAGGTATTTATTAAGTGAAATTAAAAATCGGGAATCACCACATATTTTATTATGGGGGGAAAAATAAAATTCACATGCATGAAGGATACAAAAGAAAAGTTGGTGGTGGTGGTTTTGAGGTCTGGATTTTAGATCATTCCAGATATTGGAAGTCTGGATCTTGGACTGTACTATACACATGAAAACAAAATTACAAATATGAAATGTATAAGAAAATTAAGCAATAATTATCTGTAGGTAATTAAATTCCAATTTAATAATTTTGCTGAGTGTGGAATAATCCAAAACGAGGATCAACATACAGGATAATGACTGCTTTTTTCACCCAGCAAGTAAGATGCATCACGCATCAGGAAAGCTGATGTCTCTCCCTTCTGTAATAATGCTCTAAAGTTACTCTTTAATTAACCAAGAAAGTCTATGTTAAGTTTTAAAATAAATAAAAAAAAGGACAACTGATTCAGTGACGTTACACTTGCTATAGTCAGCTAAATGCATTTTCCCACATTCTCCTAATTAAAAAAAATATAATAATAAATGAAAACAATTGAGCTGGATGCATTTTCCCACATTCTAAAAACGAAAAATGCAAAGAATAAAAATGAAGACAACACACAAAGAAACAAAAATGAAATTCTTAATGAAATAAACAAACGCCTCAGTGTCTCTTTAACTTAAAGCGCTACGATTCCCAATGTGTTTACACACACACACCATGGTTGGTCTATGGTGGAAAACGAGACATATGCTGCCACACCACCAAACCAAGAACCCTATGAAGGAATTGGAATTTTGGAACGTTTGCACCAAAGTTCTTCAATTAGCTTCAGAATGATGATAAAACTCGTAAAATTTTAAAATTTCTTTTATTTAAGAAGTCCAGAATTTGCAAGGAAGGCAAGGACGCTATATGCACACATCCTCTTTTGGTTGCACAAATAAACACTGCTGTGTGATTGTCCTCTTTTGATTGTATGAATAAAAACCAATGTGTGTATTCGTATGTCCTTTTTTGATTGTATGAATAAAAACGAATGTGTGTATTCTTATGTCCTCTTTTTGATTGTATGAATAAAAACGAATGTGTGTATTCTTATGTCCTCTTTTTGATTGTATGAATAAAAACGAATGTGTGTATTCTTATGTTCTCTTTTGACTGTATCTATAAACACAACTATCATTAACTGTTCTTTTTTTATTCCAAGAATAAACACAAAATATAACATGTTTAAAATCTTTATAACTCATTCCTTTAAATCATTTTGAGATGCATGATTTACTGATTAATGTAATGAAAGGAGTAATTTATAATAGTGATTTTGAGATTCATCGGCCATTTAATTCTTCGAAATTTATCAGTTAATAAATAAAGACTAGTCCTTAGTGATAAATGTGAGTAATACTAAAATATATTAATAGGCTTAATCATTAGTTCCAATTCTAGTTTCATATGAAGTTAAAAAATCATATTAAATCGCAAAGAAGTAATAAGATTTTAGAGAAGATTTCCCAATAATTAGAACATATTTTGCACTTTTAGAAAGTAATCTGAGAA